AAGGAGATCAAAGATTTCAAACATGACCTGAGTAAGGAGTTTGAAATGTCAGACTTGAGAAATCTTTCATATTTCCTTGGCATCGAATTCTACAAGACAAGTAAAGGTTTGATGATGCACCAAAGAAGATATGCAGGCGAGATACTCAAGAGATTTGAGATGCAAGATTGCAACCAAACTTCGACTCCAGCTGAGCCCAGATTGCAACTGTCGAAGGATTCAGATGAAGATGATGTCGACCCAACCCAATACAGAAGACTTATTGGGTCACTTAGATACCTTTGCCACACAAGGTCTGACTTAGCAAACAGTGTTGGTTTGATAAGTAGATTCATGCAGAAACCAAAGGTATCACACCTAACAGCGGCGAAGAGGATACTGAGGTATGTGAAAGGAACTCTCGACTATGGCATTTTGTTTCCAGAAGCTGATGAAGGAAAAGAATGCAAGTTAGTGGGATACACAGACTCCAGTTGGTGTAGTGATGCTGAGGATCGAAAATCCACAACTGGATATGTGTTTATGTTAGGTGGTGCACCAGTTGCTTGGAATTCGAGAAAGGAACCAGTGGTGGCATTATCATCATGCGAAGCAGAATATATAGCTGCTTCCCTTTGTGCATGTCAAGCAACTTGGATGGTGAACTTGGTCGAAGAAATCACAGGGAAGAACCATAGAGCAATTACCATGAAGATAGACAGCATGTCAGCTATCAACTTGGCAAAGAATCTAATAGCTCATGGTCGAAGCAAGCACATCGAAATGAGGTTCCATTATCTCCGAGAGAGGGTAGCAGAAGGGAAGATGAAGTTGGAACACTGCAGAATTGAGAATCAGATTGCAGATATCATGACGAAGGGAGTGCAGGTCAAAGCCTTCAGAAGACTAAGGGCCATGATGAATGTAGACAGTTTAGACACAATGAATTAGGTGGTGTGTTAAATATAATTCATTGTGTAAACAGATTTAATTTGATATCATATGATTAGATTTGATATCATATGATTAGATTTGATATCATATGATTAATTTGATATGATATGATTAGATATCATATGATTAGATTTGATATCATATGATTAGATTTGATATCATATGATTAGATTTGATTTAGAATATTTTGGACCTTTTATGTTTTGGGCTAGTGTAAACCTAAAACTATAAATAGGGTGCCTTGCTTTGTATTCTACATCACAACAGAACAGATTTCGCAGTTGCAGTTAGCAAGTGAAAGTTCAATAAGAAATCCCACAGTTATGGGTAACACATTCTCTCCAAATACTTCTTCTCTCATTCTTCTCTTTCTTGTTTGTTATTCTTCTTCTCTTTTGTTGTTCTTAATAATTACTTATTATTACCATCATTATCATATAGTGGGTTTGTTCATCAATCTTGAGATCAAGATTGAAGGGAATTCTTCATAGGTTGTGAGGTGAATTTCCAACATTGATGACGTTGTTGCTTGCGTTGCAGTTACTTTATATATACTTTTCATTTCATTTTGTAATATATATATACCGTTGTTTTCTTGCTTTTCAATTTCTACGTGTAATAGCTTATGCTATTGATAATAAAAATGCATATTCTTTGGTTTTGAGTGTGCATGATTATGTTTCTCTTATTGAAAGAAAAGTCAACTTTTTATGTTATTACTAGATTTTATTAATATGTGTGTCATGTTAACTTAGTTTTTAACGTGAATAATATTTGTAATACTAAAAACATTTTATTTTTAATATTTTTATTTTTAGTTTTAATTAGTTTTTTAAATATTTAAAAAGAAAAAAAAAACAGTTTAATCTTTTATTCTTAGTGTTTTTTTATTTCTAGTTTTTAGTTAATTTGAATTCTATTAAAATATGTATAATTTTGTTTTAATTATTCTTGTTCTATTAATGTATAAAAATATACTGTTTTTTATTTAATTTTATGTTTTATATTTTATGTAAATTTTATTTTGTTTAGAATGATTAGGTTTAGACTTGTTTTTATTATATTAATAATATATTAATTACATATTTTGATAGTAATATTAAAATTGGATTTTTTTTCTTTTGTTACTGCACCTCAAGTTTATGTATTTATATATACCTCTTTAAAACATATATTATTTTAGTTTTAAATATCTCCATATGTTTTGTTTTGTTATGTATAAATTTTTATAGTTATAATGAATAGTTGTTTTTAGTAATGTATAGATTTATTTTAGTAATTATAACGTACAGTTTTTAAATAATTATAATGTATAGATTCTTAGTAATTATTATGTATAAATTTTTAGTAATTATAATGTATAGTTTTTAATTAGTTATATATATATATATATATATATATATATATATATATATATATATATATATATATATATATATATATATATATATATATATATATATATATATATATATATATATATATATATATATATATATATATATATATATATATATATAACCAATTTCAATTTCATTTTAAACCGTTCACAAATAATCAATCTAGCGTACCTGTTATTTGTTATTCTCGATGCTCTGCCGCGTATCTTTGTTTGTTTATACATGATATTTTTTTCGTGTATTTCAGTTGACGTACCTCTGTTTGATTGCCATGATGTTTTTCCATGTGTATTCTGTGCTATCTTATCTGTCTACCATACATGATGTTTTTCCGTATATTGTGTCTGTGTATTCTTTCTTGTCATTTACATGATGTTTTTCCGTGTATCTGTTGCTTTTCTTTTGATCCCTGTGACCTAATCCGAAGGAAGAGACTATGTGTTGACTTATTGTCATTGTGTGTGTCCCTCGTTTTATTTTTACCTGTCTTAGTTTCTTTTGTTCTTAGAACCTGTCAACTTGTAGTTCCACGAACTACGGACATTCTGATTTCTCATTTATCAATGAGAATACGTAGGCACAATATGCGATGTCTTGGCGAGCTCACTAACAACTAACTTCTTGTTTACCTTTACCATAAGACTTGGAGTCGCAGTGCTCTATTTAGTCGTCCCGTCGTGGACATTCCCTTCCTTGCTAACTTAACTTAGTTTAGAGTCTTTGCACTCTATATAGGCGTCTCACCGCAGACATTTACTCTTTTCCCTTTGGAACCTTGACCACAGTCAAGAGTTCTTCACTCCTAGTTAGGAGAACTATGGTTGCTCTGATTCCATTCCCGTCAGGATACGTAGGCACGAGATGTAATGTATTGGCGAGCATACTTTGATTGGGCATCTCCAATGGACCTCTGCTTCGTTATCCGGTAGATGGAAGCCCTAGTGCATCCCGCAGAAATCCTACGAGGTGTGTGGTGTGCACCCATTGGTATTTGTTCGGTGCTCGGTGTTCACTATGATCTTATGACACCCGGACAACATTAACTATGAACTTTCGATACATGTCTGATGTTTCACTCGCATTCATCCCAACTGTGGCAGGAAGCGCTGGCATCTTTGCTTTGTCAGTGGTCGGCGGGGTTTATGACCGGTCTTCTTAAAAATTTCATTCGGAGGCCAGTGTGATCCTAGATTTGGATATGAGATTATCCTCCCCGTTGATTTGCAGGATTTTCGAGGAAATTGCATATGTGGACAGTGGAACTGTGGTCGAGTAGGCTCCGATGGATTTATGTGTTTACTTCCGCACACTGTTGCTTTTGAGATCTGGAAAGGTGCGAACGAAGAAATCGAACAGCGTGTGCAAATCTGTAAATATCGTTCAAACCTAAAGGTCAAATACGATACTGATTTGATGTCACAAGGATGTTATGAGTTGGTGAATTTAACATAAGATCTGAAATCGTGGAAATCGCATGAATCAGAGGTTAATTCCCAAATACGATGCCCATGTTCTCTTGCGGAACCAAAAATGGAGAAGATTGCGGAAACTACGGCGGAGCGAAGCTTCCCGAATGATTATATGATGTGACACTATTGATTGAAGGTTGCGATCGCGATGCTTCTTGAACTGAAAATATTAATCTTGAATTAACATTGTTAACCTATATCGATCTCAAATTGTCATTGCTAATCTCTTATACGACGGTTCAGAGGGGGATATATGTATGGTTAATACTCCAACCCTTAAGTTAGTTTAGGATTCGAGATACTCATAACGAAAATGGAGATTAGAAATTGTGTATCCAAAAACTCTTTATAAGGAGATTTATACATTAACCTGAATGAAACATATTAAATAAGTGGACTTCATATTATTAAGCACTGACGCATATTAGTATCTTTATGTCTTTAACAACCACAAAACAACATATAAAATTTATTTATTTTATTCAATTATAACATAGTAATAACTGTATGAGATAATTAAAATAATATAATAAATTTTGTTATGATTAAACTAGGATAAAAGGATCTATTCCACGGTTAATTTATAATTAAATAAAGCCTTTTAAAAAATGTATGATTCAATTTAAGTTAATTTGAGCTTCTTACCCAATTATCAAATCAAGATTCAAACAAAATATTTCTCTCAAATTAATTCATGGGGTGGTCATTCAATATAGGCTTGGTTAAGAAAAAAAGACCATATATTATTATGCTTAAATAGACACAAAAAGAAGAAAAAAAACAACCTCCAAATCGTACAAAAATACAGTATTTTAACTTTTAAATATTCTTCACACATTTGGAATGTGTGTCAACATTAAAGTCATAATATTGTGTATAACACAATGTCGGCAAGAGGTAGTTAGCAGTTTTCAATAATATATAAAAATTGCTAAATAGACACAAAAAGCATACCCTACAAGCCAAATTCAGACTTTGATATATTTTTTTTTGTTAGGTTTGTCTATTCTCACTCAATTATAAATTTAGATTTGAATTTATGAAATTTAATTTAGTGTATTTTTTGTGGTATAGAGTACTCAAAATTGATTATGAAAGATATGTATAACTGTCTTTTTCAATTTTAACTATTTTTACTCACTCTAGAATGAGTGCCAAATTGAATTCATAACATTGCTCATAAGATACCAAAGGGGTTATGGAAGAATTCAAGAACCCATCTGGCACTTCTCTTTTGGTACCATCAGTTCAAGAGTTAGCTAAAGATGAGAACCTTTCAACTGTTCCACTTAGATACATTCAGCCTCAACTTGAGGACTCTATTCTTTCTCAAGTTGATAATAGTATGCTTGAAATTCCAATTATTGATATTCATAACTTGCTTTCAAAAGAATTTGGGAGTGAAGAGTTGGTTAAGCTTCACCTTGCTTGCAAAGATTGGGGATTCTTCCAAGTAACTTTTCTCTCTTTATCAATTTGACTTATAAACACTTGCAAAACTGTATTGATTTATGTTTCTTTAATTCTTAACTATTGTAGGTGGTAAATCATGATGTTAGTTCTTCCTTGGTGGAGAAAGTAAAGTTGGAGATTCAAGATTTCTTCAACCTTCCAATGTATGAAAAGAAAAAGTTTTGGCAAACTGAACAACATATGGAGGGATTTGGACAAGCATTTGTTGTGAGTGAAGAACAAAAGCTTGATTGGGCTGATATGTTTTATATGACAACACTTCCTAAACATTCTAGAATGCCTCACTTATTTCCGCAACTTCCTCTTCCTTTAAGGTGATTTTCTCTATTTCTCTAATTTGTATCATTCTGTAGGTATATAAATTTCTCAAAGAAATTAGGTATCATTTGGTGGTATATACTATACTTATATATGATCTATTTTAAAGTTTTGATTCAAATTTGGAATGTACAAAACACATAGAATTTTAGTTTGGACCATTATGATGTGTGGGGTTTTACCTAGAGGTGAAAAAACAGGTATTCTCATCGGGCATGTCCGATTTTTTTTCGATTTTTTTATGGGACGAATCAAGATTTTAGGTTTGCACTCTATAATATATTTGTCCCGCTCTGGCTCATCTTTTTCCAGGCTTTTATAAACGTGAGCATTAACAAATTTGTGCAAGTTTTAGTTTTTAAAGAAGCAATGTGGGTCCGATGTGCCTTCATTTTATTTCAGGGCGGGCCAAGCTTTTAGACTTGCACCTCAATTGTGCATGTCCGCTCCACATCGTTTTCTACAGACTTTTGCAAGGCGGGCATACTTATCCTATGGGTTATTCTACGAATTTTTTTACTTTCACGAATTATAGCACCTACATGTTTGTTTTTTATTTATTTTTAAGTTACTTTTTATCACGGTTGAAACTTCACACTGTGGTGAAAAGTGGCGCACGGTCATGAGTTTGAATCATAGCACTTACAATTTTATTTTTATTTACTTTTAAGCCATGTTTTACCACTTTCAGTCGTGATGAAAAGTTACTCAGGATCATGGTGAAATATAAGTGTGTTTATTGAGTTTCTTCACCATCCTTAAATAAATCTTTGTCATCCATTTAGTGAGTATCAACGCTTAAGACACTGTCATTAGTGATCCGCGTGAAACCTAAAACTTAGACGAACTTCCAACTTAGACGAACTTCGGCTTCTACCTTCAAACATCATCTTCCATTTACGACACCCTATTTTTCCACTAAACCAAGCTCGAAAACATCATTTGTTCCATAAACAAAACTCAAAAACATCGTTTCTTTCATTAACAAATTTCAAAACTTCATCACCTCTTCTCCAACTTGAATGAGACAAGAAAAACTTGGATTCAAGTTAGCAATGTTAGTTGTTGTTGTTCTTGTTATTCTTCTTCTTGTTATTTTTGTTATTGTTGTTGTTATTGTTGTTGTTTTTATTGTTGTTGTTGTTGTTGTTCTTGTTCTTCTTATTGTTATTGTTGTTGTTTTTCTTGTTCTTGTTGTAGTTCTTGTTTTTTTTTCTTGTTGTTCTTGCTGTTGTTGTTGTTGTTCTACTGTTGTATTTTTTATTTTATTAAAAGACATACAGAAACAGTTATGATAGATTGCGCGCTACTTGACTTATAATCACGGTTGCACAATCGTGGTGGAAAGAATCATACATACAATCACACATTACTTCACAACGGTTGGTCGCACGTGATTGTATTCACTTTCCAACCGTTATGAGAGGTATTTTCCATAGTAGTGGTCGGTTACAAAAAAAGAATATGGTAATCAATTGAGATGATGTTTTTATGAGAACTTAATATTAAAGCAGTCTGTTACAACATATGTGTTAGCATCTGATAGAGAAACTTCCCAAAAATAGGTGATTCATGTGGATGTTGATTTGCCACCAGTGAACAATATGAAGGTAGTGCTTGAACCACAAGAGGAACCAAGCTTTGATTTTGAAATTGACTTGAACATGAAGTTTCATGTGAGTACAAGATTATATTCTTCTATGTGACAAGGATTATCGTTCAACCAAGCCATCATAAAGATATAGGTATGAAAACTTGACAGCCTATGCACTTCTTACTAGTTTTGAAGACCCTTCCACCTTTCGAAAGACTACAGCTAGATAGGAGAAATGTAAGTGGATGAGTGCAATGTTGGAGAAGATAAAGTCTTTGAAAAATCAAACATGGAGCTTGTCTAGCTTCCTAATGAGAAAATGGTCGACGAATACAAGTGGTTGTTTAAGAGGAAACCATCAGTAACATAAAAAGAAAGGGAAAAGTTTAAGGTTCTCCTTATATTAAAGAGGTACTCACATCATAAGCGAATTGATTATTATGATATTTTCTCTCTGATCATCATACATACTTCTATCAGGGAAGTGTTAGCCTTGGTAACCATCTGAGACTTGCACTTAAAGCATATGAATGTGAATATATCATTTCTTCATAATAATTTATATGAGTAAATTTATGAAGAGAAGTCTGAGGGGTTCAATGAAATTGGACACGACAGACTAGTTTGTGAATTTAAAAGGTTTGTGTATGGCTTAAAGCATTCTCCAAGGTAATGGTTTAAATTTTCTACAAAAGGTCGATTATAAATGTTGTGTTTATGTTAAGAGCCTTGATGATGGCTCTTTTATTTTCCTGATATTATATGTTAATGATATGTTGATTGTTGCTAATCATTTACATGACCTAAATATAATGAAAATCATGTTAGCAAAGGAGTTTGTTGACATGAAAGGCTATGCACTACTACAAAAATTATTTGTATGAAAATTCACAGAAATACGAGTGCTAGAAAATTATGCCTCTCTCAGAAACGCTATGTTGAAAAGGTTTAAGACAAGTTTAAAATGAGTAATTCGAAGGTTGTGATTACTCCATTAGCAAATCACTTTAAATTCTCATTGGATTAATGCACAAAGACATATGCAAAAGCAGAGTATATGTCAAAGGTTTTCTATACCAATATTACTAGTTGTTGAATGTGTTATCGTATGCACTATACCAGATTTAACACAAGTTGTAAGTAACATTTATAATTTTATGTCCAAATCGGGCAAGTGTCATCGGTTCAATCCATAAAACAACATCGACAACTAGAGCAGAGTACATAACAGCAGTTGAATGTGCCAAAGAAGCCTAATGGCTTATAAGATTAGTAAGATAATATGGTGTTGGACAAGGTGAAGTTCAGTTGTATTGTGATAGTCATAGTTCCTTTTATTTGGCAAACAAACAAGTGTTTCATGCCAAGATTAAGAACATTTATGTAAGGTTTATCAAGATCGGATTTAGTCGCATCTGAATAGGTATTACTTGAATATATTAATACTTAAAATAATGAAACTGGTATATTGACTAAGTTAGTCATCAGTGACAAGTTCAAGCATTGTTTGGACTTGTTACATGTTTCTTAGTGTTAGGAAGGAGGTGTACCTCCCTAATTGTAAGGACATGATCGTCATGCAAGAAGTTTCCATATGTTTTTGATATTTGCCAAGATGGAGATTGTTTAGTATGACCTATATAAAAACATGAGTGTAAATTTAGTATGACCTATATTTGCCGAGATGGAGATTGTTTAGTGGAGATCAACTTACTCTAAGAGTAAGTTTTTTTAATTTACTCCAAATCATAGCATTTGAATTGAATCTAAGCTAATGGTTATTAGATTAGCCTTTTACTTAATTAACCATTAAATTAGATTTAGTTCAAAGGCTATGATTTAGAGTAAGTTAAAAAAAACTTATTCTTGGTGTAAGTTGATCCGCACTTTTATATATATATATATATATATATATATATATATATATATATATATATATATATATATATATATATATATATATATATATATATATATATATATATATATATATATATATATATATATATATATATATATATATATATATATATATATATATATATATATATATATATATATATATATATATATATATATATATATATATATATATGAGTGGAGATCAACTTACTATAAGAGTAAGTTTTTTTTTATTTCCTTCAAATTATAGTCTTTGAATTAAATGTAATCTAATAATTAGATTAACATTTTTTTTATATTTGATTAACCATTAAATTAAATTTAGTTCAAAAATTATGATTTAAAGTAAGTTAAAAATGCGTCAATATAATTGCACTATAATAGTGGTCAAAGTGGGTCAATAAAGATGGATTGATATGTTTTCCTTTAATCTTCTATATTAATTATAGTTATAGTTGTAACTATTATTATTGTCTTGAGCTCTTTCATAACCCAACATTATATCTCGTATATAAAATATGGTATTTAGTCCTAAGACATCTTATAGTTATTTAAAAGAAAATTTAATATATTTTTCTACTGATAAAAAATTTACTTTAAAAAACATATCTATAAAAATAAATGTAAACTAATAATATTTATAGATGAATTTTATATTTACTGAACTAACTAAATTTGCCTTATTGAAAGATTATTTAATAAGATAATATATTGTTACGATTCATTTATTATTATCATCTTATATTAGTAAGTGTTTTTTTTCTAATTCATTGCTATAAACCAGTTTGTAAGTCAAGAAATATTACTTTTTATATTCGAACCTCTTGTGGAAAGATGGAAAGTGGTGGGGTGATAGGAGGAGGAACAAATTCGATCATTGCCCTATATAGTTGAAGATCAATAAGGAGAATTGGGGTGCTAAGCCTTTTAGAACCAACAATTCTTGGTTCGGTTCTTGAAGTTTGTGGAAAAGAAGTGGAAGAGTTTCAAAGTGGTTTGTAGGAGTGATTTTATTATAAAGGAGAAATTCAAACTGTTGAAAGATAGCTTGAAGAAATGGAATAGAGAGGTTTTTGGCCAGCATGATTTGAAAGTCGAAGACGAAGTGGAAGAAATCAATGTTATTGATAAGTTGCTTTCTAATGGGGTGAATGAGGAAGTGAAGGCTTTGGTGAATAATAGGAACGAGGCAATTAGGTCTATGTGTAATCATTTATACATTAAGGGCTTATTCGGAAGTCTAGAGTAAAATGGACTCGTGAAAGGGATCTCAATTTGCGGTTCAAATGGATAATGGAGTGGTTAATTTGGTTAAAGATGTCAAAGAGGTTGTTTGGAATTTCTTCCATGAAAAATAAAGAGAACTTGTAGAGGGCATGCCTATCTTGGAGGGAATATCCACGAAAACTTTAAGTCCAACTGAAGTCTACTTTTTGGAGGCGCCTTTTGCAGTTGCAGAGATTAAAGACGGTGTTTGGGATTGTGATGGTTCTAAGAGCCCGGGTTCAAACGATTTTAATTTTGTTTTCATTAAAAACTGTTGGAAATTTTTGAAGGAGGATATTGTATTGTTTGTTCAGGAGTTTCATAGGAAACCGGTTATGTCCAAGGCTAATACCTCTTCATGTATCACTTTGATTCCTAAGGTTTCCAATCTTTTCAACCTTGTTGACTTCAGACCAATTTGTTTAGTAGGTTTCTTATGTAAGATTTTGGCTAAACTGTTGGCGTCTAGATTGAAATTTGTTCTTGGAGGCTTGAAATCGAGGTGCCAAACGGATTTTGTCCCATGGAGGAAAATATTTGATAGTATATTAATAGCTAATGAAGTTGTCGATCAAGCAACTAGGGAGAAGAAGACTGTATTATGTTCAAAGTGGATTTTGAAAAGGTGTATGATTGTGTAAATTGGGATTTTCTTAGGTCCGTGATGAAAAAGATGGGTTTTGGTAGCACTTAGATGTGTTGGATGGAAGGATGTGTTTTCAACGGGTATTTGTTGATCTTAGTTAACGGCAGTCCGACGAAGAACTTTAAGGTGGAGAGGGGTCTGAGATAGAAAAATCGACTTTCGCCTTTTCTTTTTGTATTGTTGCTGAAGGGCTCACTCAATTGTTTCATAATGCTACAACTATAGGAGATTTTGATGGTTATAAAGTTTAGAAAATCTTTCTATTGACTTGATTCAATTTGCAGACGATACGTTGATTGTTGAGGCATGTAATTGGAATAATTTATGGTGTATCAAAGCGATCCTTAGGGGATTTGAGTTGGTGTCAGGTTTCGGCGTTAATTTTCATAAAATTAGATTGGTCGGGATCAATGTGAGTGACCATTTCTTACTGGCAGCATCCAACTTCTTGGCTTGTAAAGTGGAGGTTTTATCTTTTAATTTTCTCGGTTTGCCTATTGAATCTAACCCGAGACGAATTAAAATGTGGATTTCTATTGTTGTGGATTTCTATTGTTGAGAAAGTTAAATCGAAATTAGCATTATGGATAGGAAAATTCTTCTCTTTTGGAGGAAGGATAACATTAATTAATTATGTGTTGAGCAGCCTCCCTATTTTTATGTTCTCGTTCTATAGAGTGCTGGTGCAGATCAGGAAAGAGATTGACAAATTACGAAAGAGATTTCTTTGGGGAGGAAATGAGGAGTCTTCGAAGATCCAATGGGTTAATTAGGAGTTGGTTTGCAAAGACAAAGAACACGGGGGACTCGACATTAAAATTTTAGACGAATTTAATCTAGCTTTACTTTCTAACAGGAAATGGATAATTCTTTTGCAAAAGGAGGTTTTGTAGGAGAAATTGATGGAAGCTAGATATGTGAATTGTGAGGATATAATTCTTTCGAATGATTGTTGCAAAGCTTCTATTCCAGCTTCAACTTGGTGGAAGAATTTGACTAAAATCAGAGCAGTTACTGCTAACTCGGGTTTTGATTTTGCAGGTAATGTATTTTATAAAAATTGAAGATGGTAAAAAAATTCAATTCTGGTTGCTGAAATGGTGCAGGGACTTTACTCTTGATGAAATTTTCCCAGAGTTGTTTTCGTTTAGCTCATTGAAAAACTCGTCTATTTTTGACATGGGAGAGTGGGTGGATTCAATTTGGAGGTGGGGGGAAAGGATAACTCAACTGTTATATTTTATTCAGCAAGTATTCGATACATAGATATTATAGAGGCTAAACATTTTGTTCAATTGGAAGAGGATTTAAAGAAAGCTTCAACATCATTTGGAGATCACCGGTTTCGGGAAATATTAGAGCTTTTGGTTGGAAATTATCCTTGGACCGTTTGACCACAAAAAACCAATTGATCAAGAGAGGAGTTAGCTTTGTTCCGAATGAAAAAGCTTGTGTGCTACGTCATAGTTATGAGGAGTATCTTAACCATTTGTTCTTCGATTTTTCAATATCCAGACTGGTATGGAATCGTATAGGTGATTGGATAGATTTCAAGTTTAGTGTTACAAGTCCCTCTTGGAAATTTTTCTTGAGCTGGAACTCTTTATTTAAAACGTTGTCCAGTAAAGGTAAAATTAATATCATTTGGTTGTTGGTAGTGTGGGGTTGTTGAAATCGCGAAATGATAGTTTCTTCAACCAGTCTAAGTGTGATTTGAATAATATACTTGTTCGTCAAAAATTTGGTTTGGAAATGGTCGATTATAGGAGATATTTTGTATTCTAACATGAATTACTTAGATTTTGTGTATGGATCTTTTGAATTGTTTATCTTTGTAATTGTTGTTGGTGGAGAATTTTTTTTTAAGTTTTTTATTGTATCGTTTTGGGTTTGAACACCTCTAATGCTCTCTAAGTGGAATTATTGTTTCAATATATATATATATATATATATATATATATATATATATATATATATATATATATATATATATATATATATATATATATATAAACTTTTTAAAATTTTTATCTTTCTTCATAATATCTTTAATTCATCTAACTCATTTATTTTATTTTATTTTCGATAACACAAAGCCCTTTTCTTTAATGATCATGCAGACACACACTAGAGTTATACTCACAAGAAATGAAAAATGTATGCATGATTATTGTTGGTCATATTGGAAAAGCTTTGAATGTGAAAGAAATGGAAATTCAAGAATTATTTAAAGATGGAATACAAATGATGAGGATGAACTATTACCCTCCATGTCCTCAACCTGAAAAGGTTATTGGCCTCACAAAACATTCAGATCCTGTAGGTATCACTATCCTCCTACAACTCAATCAAGTAGAAGGACTCCAAATAAAGAAAGATGGCATGTGGGTCTCTATTAAGCCTCTTCCAGATGCCTTCATTGTCAACATTGGGGACATGCTAGAGGTAAAAAATAACTCAGTATTTTCAATGGATTCAATCTTTGAAACTCAACAATTTGATAATTATTTTCATGTTTTATGATGAAGATTATTACGAATGGGATATATCGAAGTATAGAGCATCGAGCAATAGTGAACTCAGAAAAAGAAAGAGTTTCAATTGCAACGTTCTATAGTCCAAAACAAGATGCTATTATAGGTCCTTTGGAGAGTTTGATTACTGAACAAACACCTTCACGATTTAGAAAAATTGGAGTTGAGGAGTACTTCATCAAATTATTTGCGACTAAACTTGATGGAAAGTCTTACATTGATGTCATGAGAATAGAGCATGAAGATTGAATATTTGATCGATTATGGGGGAATAATTTGTACAAATATATGTCCATAACTGAAAGGTTGTAAAGATGGTCACAACACTCATCCTACTTTGATCTACACTTAATTATGAACTAGATATTATATTATCAATTAAACTATATAAAATAAAAAGAGGATTGCATGGGGTACAATACGTCATTGGCGCAATTTTGAGTTGTAGAAAATTTCGGAGATATACTTTTGGAATTTTTCAGCGTTTAATTTTCTGAAGAAAATTTCGAAAATGCATATCCGGAATTTTTCAACGTTTTAGTTTCTCCCAGACTCTAGAGATGCATCCTCGAAATTTTCTGTAATATTTTTTTTATTTTCTTACTTGTGTGTTGTTTGCCTGCACTAATGGTCTGCCTTATTTTAACTTCTAGGCATATGTCGCGTGCTACTGATTTTATCCCGCTCAGAGGGATATGTTGCGTGTTATTACTTTTATCCCGCTCAAAGGGAACCAGGCGACCGAGCCTTATAGAGTCTATCTTAATCGTTTGATTGTTGAGGATATGCACTTCAACAGTTTGTTGATCACCGTCAGACATGGCCATTTGACGAGATAGTGATATACTCTAAATGGTTGGCCTGCGAATCGCGTCTCACTGCTCCTCATTTGTCTGAGCACAACATACAGCAGTTCGGCTACACTCAGACCATTCCCTGACACCCTGATGTCTTTGCTCCTCCTACCTTGACACGTAGGCAGATAGAGGATATGTTTGATGATTATAGAGTCATCTGGTACCTGAGGAGGTACGGGTTATCATAGTTGAAAGCGATTGGAGCTACGTCGAATGGTACATCAAATGGTTTTTCAGGGTGTCACATTCGTACATGGTGCATGCTGCTCCATGAGATCCGCTGAGACCAGCTCATCAGGAGATACTAGAGGATGAGCGGGTACAACTAGATCATATTGATGATGTCTTGCCTAGGTGTTCTCGCATAGTGGAGATTACGCAGGCAGACATTGACACAAGTATCTTCCTTGATGGGTTTGATATCAGGCGGGTCCTATATGCCATCATGACGGAGGCACATGGGCATTGTTGTACCAAAAACATTGTCGGAGGATAGGGGGATTGATGGCCGAGGAGGTAGACGAGGAAGAGGAGGTAGATGAGAGGTTATCAAACACACAGAGTAGTCTCTTATTATATAGTAGTAGTACTATGGTATGTATTTTATTTTGACGGTCTTACTTCTGTATTGATCTCGATTGTACGACATTGTCAATATTTATTAGTATTTTACTTTTGTATATAATTTTTTGTCTATCTGGAATTATTTACGTCTACTTTATATTTTTGATTGTACGGTATAGTTTAATCTTCATCTAAACACGGATAAATAATATATAACATGAAAGACCTGTTATGATACGTTACAGAGATGTATCTCTGGAATATTCACAGAGATGCATCTCTGGTACAATTCAAATGTAAATAGCTTCTGAGTGGGATGTATTGAATGTTTTAAATTGTTTCGGAGATGCATCTCCGAAATATTTCAACGTTCATACAAAAATTACTACGTTCGGAGATGCATCTTTGAAAATTAGGGGCATTTAAATAATTTTGTGTGGTGGGTAATAATTATTAAGAGTGCATTAAGAAATCCTCAATAAAAACTAGCCACATGATGATATTGTTAAAGTATCGGGGCCATTTATTTTTGTTTTTAGTCTTTTAATCCCATTAACCAATTATAAAGTTTGTTATGAGTTTGTTAGACAATTGGTAAAGTCAATTGTATATCTATTTCTTTTAGTGATCTTAAACTACTAATATAAATGTTAAGCCACTCTTTCTCTTTTGTATGACCGATACAATTTTACACAATGAAAATGAGTTTTCACCATGGGATTATGATCCTACGTGCTCTGGTAGCCATTGTTAACATTCTTTAATCTTTATCATTTTCCTCTTAACTCTTTAACGGCTAACCCAAATCTATTATTATTACTCAACAAATTCTACAAATCCTTATTTCCTTCACCCCAAATGAGAATCCATCTCTTGTTCTGGATTCACGTCTTCTTAATACCAAGAATTATCATACATGGTCAAGATCAATGAAAATCACTCTTATTTCAAAGAACAAACATCATTTCATTAACAGATCCTTTCCTAAACCGCTTCACACAGATTCACTGCATGCACCTTGGCAAGATATAATATGATGGTTCTTGTATGGCTTTTCCATTCAATATATGAATCAGTCTCAAAAATTGTACTTTGGATCAACATTGTTGTTGGGGTTCTGGTAAATTTGCGTACGCGATTCTCTCAAAGCGGTGTTTTTTGTATTTATGACATTCAATAAGATCTCTACAAGTTTCAGCAAGGTACTCTAACCATTTTTTTATTATTTCACTTAACTCAAAGTTTTTTGGGATGAATTAGAAGCGTATCTACCAATCCTCTCTTGTTCTTTCCCAATCCCTTGCTTGTGTGGCGTTATCGCATCTGTAAAAAAAACTATTTCAAGCAAGATTATGTGATTCAATTTTTGAAAAAGTCTCAATTAAAAATTCTCCTCCAAGTCGCGAATAATGATGATAAATCTTTTACCATATATCGATCGTACTTTCTCTCTGGTTATCCAGCAGGAATGAGAAATGAACCCTCCTTCATTTATTGCTTTTTCCTCTGTTGACAAAATGATTCCTACTAATGTGTTGCATACCAATTGTAACTCATTTCATGGTGGAAACAAATTTTAGAACCCTAATTTCAAAGGGAAACCCCTTTTCTCAAAACCTAATCGTGTATGCACTCATTGTGGTCGTACGAATCACACAATTGAGATTTGTTTTGTCAAACATGGATATCCACCTAGATTTAAAAATAATCCCAAGGTTTCTTCTTCTGCCAACAATGTCGTTGATCAACTACCTATCTCTTTAGCAAATTCTTCTTTTGGTTTTACACAAGATCAGTACAACAACGTCATGGAACTACTTCAATAGTCAAGATCTAATTCCATTCCCACGCCAAACTCATTCACCAGTACACATCTTGTTAAGATTACCAATTCTTCACTTCCTAATGGTAAGCCATCCACCTGATGGATTCCTGACACATGTGCCACTTACCATATCACTTATAATCTAGTATATTTTATCACATATCAAACCATTAACCATGTTCATGTAACCCTTCCTAATGGTTCTCATATTAGTACTTCCATATCTGGTAGCATTGAGTTTCCTCATCTTTTACCATACACAATGTTTTAAATATTCATAATTTCCATGTTAACCTTGTCTCAGTGGTTAAACTAATTACATATCTTAATTTCCATATGTTTTTCTTTGCTAATACTTTTCATATTATGCAAAATCATTAACTTACCTACAAAGAGGCCTATACATCCTAGAATCTTCTAGTTATACCACACTTTGGAATTACGTTGATAGTAATTCTCATAAACTCTGGCATTTCAGGTTAGGTCATGTATCTGATGTAGGTTTAAAGGATATTGATAGAAATTTTCCTTTTATGTCTTGTAAGCCTAATTTTGGCACCTTGTGATTCATGTCATAATGCAAAATAGAAAAAGTTATTTTTCCCATTTAGTAATATTCACATTGCTTCTCCTTTTGAATTATTTCATGTTGATTTGTGAGGCCCTTAATCAACCATTTAAATATTAGGTCAAAAATACTTTCTCACCCTATTTGATGACTATACTAGATATACTTGGGTCATATTTATCAAAAACCAAAGATCAAACAAAACCTAGTCTCATCAACTTTATTGCCTACATTGAAAATCAAGTCAAAACAACCTTAAAATGCTTAAGATTGGACAATGGCACTAAGTTTTTCACTTTAGCACCTTTCCTTATGTCCAAAGGTATCTTGCACCAAAAGTCTTGTCATTGTATGCCTAAACGGAATGGTGTGGTTGAAAGAAAATGCCATCATATTCTTAATGTGGCTAGACCCCTTCATTTCCATTCCAATACACATTTATCCATGTGGAATTTTTGTGTCCAACATGTTATTCACATTGTAAATATACTTCCTAGTCCTTTTAACAACTTCTTCTCAAGTAACAAATCCCTGTAAACGTTTTTTAAAAACTCTCCCCTCATATATGTATCTTAAAGTTTTTGGTTACTTGTGGTATGCAACCTCTATTTAAGTCCATATACATAATTTGACTCTAGGGCCAAAAACTATATGTTTTCAAGCTATAAAAAAGGTACTAATTAAAGTATTTATCATGTATGATCTGTAAAACCATGAAATATTTATCTCTAAAAATGTCATTTTCTATGAGTCCCTTTTTCCTTCAAATACTTTTCTTAGTCTCCATCACCATAGATCATCACATTAGACTTGTCTACCTCTACCCATACTCTTGATGACAACTTTATTGCACAACCTAATTATATTCCTACTACACAACCTAATGACACAGATATTGCACAACCTAATGTACCTCACCCTACTGACATATCCATTCCAGATAATATTTTTGATACACGTGCCTAATCTGATGCATCAAATCCAGTCTTACTTTCTATCAACCATCAACATGACATGTCTTTGTCTAATTGTCGCATCTCAAAAAATACGATCCTTCATGAAGTCGCAGAAAAAATGATTTGAACAGAATCTCCATCGAACTTTATTTATTCCAATGAAGGAATATGGAAATATAGATAAAACCTTTAAAATAAAAAAGAAAATGGTCATCGCAACCAAATTAAGGTTCGGGAGTCAATTACGCAAGGAGAAGGTATTAACACCTCTCACGTCCATTATACTCAATGGAAATATTTTAGTTAAATTTATGATTGAATGTTAGCTAATGTAAATTATTTTCTTTGAGTGATAAAATATGAAAAAGGAAAATAAAAGGGGTCATAAAAAGTTCTTTATTAAGGGGATTTACAAGCTTGCGAGTCTTGCTCCGATGTATCCTCAGGTACAATGAGGAACTCAAAGCTTCATAGTTCGG